ACAGCGATATATGTGCACCTATGTTCATCACAGCACAATTTGTAATTGCTAAATTGTGGAAGCAACCCATATGTCCATCTACTGAGGATTGGGTAAGAAAATTGTGGTACTTTTATATAATGGAATATTGCTCAGCCATGAAGAAAGATAAACTCGAGGCTTTTATAGGTAAATGATCACAACTAGAGACCATACTCATAAGTGAAATAAATCAGACCTGCATGTGCGAGCACCACATTGTCTCACTAGTGTAAAACCTGAAAGAGTTAATAAAAACTCGGAGGTATGATAGACATTGTGAAATCATAGGAAAACGCTCAAGGGTAAAGGGAAACTGGGATGTGGGAAAATAGAAGGGAAAGAAGGAGAAATTTTGTATGTATGTATATACAGGACAGTTAACATAGTTGATCTACTGTCTTCTATTTCCTTTTCTTGTTTGTTTTTTTTTCTGGTACCAGAAATCGAACTCACAACCTTGCACTTGCCAGGCAGGTGCTGTGTCCCTGAGCTAAATCCCCAGCTCCTTACTGTCTTCTATTTCTTTGCTGAAAGAAACAGTTAATGAGTCCTTCATTGATCAATATCGCATATCTCTTGTTTGTTTTCATGAGAAACCACTTTGAAGATATCTATATGTAATACAAGCATTATTAATTTCCTACCACTTTGTTTGTAACTCTGTATTATTTGCACTGTTCTTTTGCTATTTTGTAAGAGGCTGTCTGTCTGTTAATGTTTTCCTCCTTTTACTTTTAAAATTTAAAAGATAGACTTTGTAATATTATTGATGAAAATTAGAAACATACTGCAAACATCCAAAAAATGGTTAAATAAACCATGATGCTACTATATGAATATTATATAACATCAAAATATTATATAACATGAAAATGATTATTATGGACTTTTAATGTAGGAAAATATTCATGACAAAAATGTTAATTAAAAATAGAATATGAAACTATATTATGACTTAAATTTATGTAAATAAATATATTTGTGTAAATGGCTGTAGAAAGACTCAAGAAAAATCCACCACAATGTTAATACTGTGTGGGACTTGTGATTAGGATGATTTTTATTATTACTTTTTCTGTGCTTATTTTATTTTTGAAGCATTTGAGAGTGATGAACAATTGCTACATTATGAGAAGGATTATGAGGACAAATATCAATGCAGTTTCCTTTGGCTTATGAGATTATAAGCATTTTTATAGCATTTTATAATTAATTTTACTTTTAGAAACACTCTGGTATTTCCAATTCTATTTGATTATCTCAAATACCTTGTGAGGTAAGCTGGGCAGTGCTGTCCCTATTTAACAGGTAACAAAACTGAAGCTCAGAAAAGCTCAATGACTGGCTCAAAGTCACACTCATTAGTGGCAAAGCTGGATGTGAACCTGGGTCTCTAGAACTCAAATTTAGTCCTCTTTTCATTAATTCAAGACTGACTGCAGTGCAACTAAAGCCGTCAATACCAGGCAGGAACATAAAAGAAGCAATACCTCTACCAAGGTCAGGTTCCTGAACAAACTCTAAGGTAGCAGAATTCAGCTAAGGAAATCAGGTTTAGAAGGAAAAAACTGGGTCGAAGAAATGTCACAGTGAACTTTTGATAGCTTTATCTTTGAGAGGGATCATGGGAAGATAATTTCACCATCACAGTAAACTTTTGATAAATATTTTTATGTGTAATAAAATGAAACAATAACAGCAGTAAATTACATAAAAGAATTAGAGTTTATACATTCTAAATTAGTAAAAAAATGATAGGCTCTACAGTTTCCATTTAGATCCTGAGATGATTCCCACAGGTGATGAGGCTGTATCTATCACTCATTATGGCCCTGGAAAATTCAGGTAACAAAGAAGCAATAAACAGAGGTGAACTGTTAATTCAAACCGCAGATGTCTATAGATGCTCTCAGTCTCTGAAATCTAATTCTGAAGTTGTAACATCTTGCTGATGGCTTTAGCTCAGCAAGTGAATTTCAGTGACACCACTTAATCACTTTGGGACTTCTGAAGATGCCCTTTGTCTACTTAAGCCTTTTTTGATGACATCTAGCACGTCTGTATACAGTTCAATTAAATCATTCAAGCTTTGTCTGAAGGCAGCCCATCAGCTGTCTAGCAATGGTTTTAAATGACACTTGATAATTTAGGTTCTGCGAAAGATGGTCTCCGTCCAATGTGATTGTTTTTGAAGACATTATTATAACTCCTTACATAATTCATGCTTTTCACAGGTGAGATTTGAAATGTACAGGTACCAATTTTTACAACTTTCCTGGGTAGGTTTAATTTCGTCCTAAAAAATACTTGCTCCTGTTATTTATAGCTGCCTTTGTCTCCAGTCCCTCAACTTCCCAATTAATTTCTTGCTGGTGATGATAATCACATCTGTGAGACTGGAAGCTGCCCAAGAATCATCCTATAGCAGTATCACATCCCTTGAATGTGTGTGAGTATGTTTGAATTCAACTTCAGCCCATAATTGTTTCTGTGCCAATGTTCACCCTCATCCACAGGTTCTTCTCGAGCAAAGACGCTTTATCTTTGGGAGGGATCATGGGAAGATAATTTCACCATCTCTAGCCAAGTCCTCTCCCAGGTTGCAATAATGGCAGGCTCTGTTAAATTATCACATGTGCGTTTGATTAAGAATACAGGATTAGTGAGGGTGTAACCATCCCATACACTAGGATCTCAAGACACAGCAACTTTTGTGAGATTTTAAACAAGAAATTTATATTTACTCTTTGAATGGCTAGATCAAACACCGGGGATGCAAGGATCTGAGATGTGGTTAATTATAAAGACAATGTTTCTGCTAGTATGCACGTTATCAATGTATATGAAGCCCTAAATGGACTTTGAAGAATGAACAGGACTTTGGGTTCAAGTTTTAATTACTCAGAAATTTCTACAAGAAAGCACTGTTTAAGTTAACTCTTAAGGAGAGGAGTCATTTGGGCTCTTCTGTTTGCATGCCAGTACACTGGAAACTTGGCTCGGTGATTTCCCCTGAGAAAATCTGGGCACAGTTTTCCACTGAGCAGCAATGATTTCACTGTGAGTTCACCTGCAGTACTACCACGAAACAGAAATGTCAGCCTCTCTGTTTTTGCTGACTTCATATCAGCATCAGTTGGCTCTTGCTCTTCAAAACGTCAAGTAGGACTATTCAAGTGCTCCCAAAGCTCAGCAATCTTAACAGTACCAAAGATTTGTGCAGGTACATAATACTGTTCTTTGATCAATTTCTGCAGCTGCAGTGGCTGCAACATAGGAGGTTCCCTTTTTGGCACCTAGCATAACACATAGGTCTGCAGATCATGGCACACCCTTAATTCTTAAAAAAATTCTTATCACTGCTCCTAACAATTTTTTTCCAGACCTACCTCAGTGTCAGCAAACAAGGCTTTAAAAATTCCTTTTGTAGAATCATAGATCCCTTGCATACAAAGTGTTTCAGTATTCTTTTGCTTATCTTCAATATAGTAGTTTACTGTTATTTCCATGTTTTCCATTCTGGGGTCACAAGGGATAAGGCATGTTGTTGGTGTATAAGAGGCAATACTAGCACTAATCAGGACTTCAGCTTTCCACATAGCAAGCCGTATCATATTAACACCATATAAGCCTTCTACAAAGCTACCTGCTTTATCTTGAAGAAGCAGATTAAGAATATCCCTTTTCTAGGAAGAGTTAGTGCTTTATTTTTATATATATTTTTTGACAAATTTTGCACACTTATATCAGGGAATCTGAACAATGAATCGGAAGACAACAATATGCAATATAACAATAACTGTTGAATTCCTATCATCTTGTTTGGTGAAACTCTATATCATTTATAATTTTTTTTGTTTTTACTTTTTATTCTCTTTAAGGTTTGATCAATCTTACATTCTTACATCTGGCAATCTGACCAACTTTGATGAAGATAAAAATATGTAATATAGCAGCCACTGTTAATCCTTATCATTGTGTTCTGAAGCCCTGCATCATTCTTATTGTTTTTGCTTTGTTTTCATTTTGTCTGTTGTTGGCATTTTCCTATTGTTTTTTTTATTCTCTTTCAAATAAAAAAATATCCCTTTTCTAAAGACATCACCTTTCTTGCCCTTTAAGTGACATTGTACGACGTTAGTGCCTTTATATTTACTTACCTCACATCTCAATGGTCACATTTATAGAAGCCATGCTTTGTCTTAGGCTAACTGATACAACCTGACAATTATTTCCTAGAGATTTCATATCCCAACGTGTCACTGAGGGTTAGCATATGATATTTAAGTACCAAATGATATTGTGAACACCACACAGGTAAAGGATATTGCTGTGATAGCTGGTGCACATGAGGCTGATTGTATAGGGGTCAACAAGTAAAAGAATAAGAAAAAAACAATATTAGGTTTGTTCCCACTTTGTGATATAATCAGATTGACAACACTGTGGCAACTTGTACTGGCTCCTATATACTCAATTCAAGATCAAATGTATGCAAAGTAAATTCACCTATACTTCAATTTCTAAAGATGTGAGCTTATAGTTAGGAAGGGATCACTGTAAATTCTACTCTATGTTATCCAAAACAAAGTCACTGTTTATGTATTCAACATAGTACTGTTGCTATGATTTCCTATGACTTAACTCAATTACCTCGATTTTATGTGAAAGGCAAACACATCATTAGTGTATTTTCTGTCAGCCCCACAGAAAGACAATCTAAACATGATCCTCTGACAAATGCAACCTCTGAAGATGGAGATGTAAAGGTCTGGCAGGCCCTGAACAGCCAATGGTCAAGAAACAAACACCCAAGAAAGAAAGTGATAATGAAAGAATAAACTAGCCCCTTTTCAATGCCGGGCCACTGATACTTTACTTTTATCCCCTCCTCCTGGGAAGATAGAGCGAAGCCTGGCTTTCTTATTCTTCTCTTCAGGGGCCATGGGAAGTGGTTTGGAGCTATGGTTGAGTGCTGAAGAATCCCGGTTGTTACTATTCATCCTCAGTGGAGGAGCTGGGGGTTTTTCTTCATTATCCAGACCGTCAGACATTTTCAGTTCACAGCTCCTAAAGAACAGGAGAAAACAGGAGTTAAGGAAGGAGAATCCTAAAACAAACTTATTAAAATATGGGAATTCTAACACCTCACAAACAACAGCATTGATCTCATGTTGTCTCAGGTTCTATGTGGATTATTTTGAGGGGTTTCTCTTCCGGAGAGGGGGAATTTGACTTGCCAAAGACCAATGATACAATTTCCAAGAGAGGGAAATTAAGGTAATAATTAGTGACCTTTCAACATGTATACACAAACACTTTTGCTTTTTTCAAAATGAAACTATTTTCTGCTATTTATTCACAGTCTCTCATAGAAAAATTATGTTTCTTCTTTAAAAGTTCTATCTTTTCATCATGTTGGTCAAGTGACAAACTCCTCAGGGTTTGGAATGAATATGTTTGGCTGTTGATTTTTTGTTTCTTGATACTGGGAATCAAATGCTGGGTCTTCTACCTGCTAGGCAAGTGCTCTACTACTAAGCCATATCACTAGCACTAGCTTTTGATTTTTAATGATCCCAACCCATGATCTGTTAACTGCTTTAACAGTGGGATGCTCTTGGTATCTGTTTCTTAATCTTTTTATTTCTGATCTACAAAATGCACGTAAAAGAAAACACTGGGCTGAATGTCAGCATTAATAAAAAGGAGCTCTGGAGGAGCAGATACATTGAGAGGGGAGATCATAACCTTATTCCATGACTTTCAGGTCTTAGAACAGGGAGCTGACTGAAGGGACCGCGTTGTAAGCTCCAGTCTAGGTTTTAGGAATTGCCCTTAATTTCTTTTGCCTAGGACTCTACATTTACGTTTGATTCCACAGGGAGGATGAAGTGAACTGGAAAAGCATGGACTCCTCAAGGAAATGCTCATTTCTAGGTATTTTCCTTTACTAATCCACATCCTTCCATTATACCCTGACACTTATCAGCACAAGTCAAGTGTTAAGGATATCTTCCAAGTGAATCCTTAATTTGATTTTTTTTTGTTTCTTTTTTTTTTTTTTTCCAGTACTGGGAATCCAACTCACGACCTTGTGCTTGCCAGGCAGGCACTGTGCCCCTGAGCTAAATCCCCAGCCCTGAATCCTTAATTTGAATACAAGGAACACCAAGTGCCATGACAATGAAATCTCTGTAAATTTATTAAGTGTCACTTGGTGTTAATTTAAGAACATAAAGAAGTCTCCAAATATGACTTACCATGTAACTTTATTCTAAGGACGTTTATTATAAGCACATCTAAGTACATTAGCAAAGACTAAGCAATGAGCTCCCCATTAACTGTTGAATTAAGAAATAATTGAAAATAGTTCTTTTAGCCCTTTTGTTGTTACAATCTGTTTATTTTCAGTAGTGAACTCTAAGTTACCTAAAAATTTTTAAAACTTTTATGTTCTAAATTTACATAAATACATGTAATGTATAATTATTGAAGAATGTGTTAGCATTAATTAATATCTTCTCATTCTGCACAGATGGCTGCCAACCAACAATGGTTGGTTTGACCTGGATCTGGACAGGAGACCTTCTCTTTTGCTTTGGCATGTCTTGCATTATCTTAATGAATTAAGACCAATTGTGGGCTGGGCATGGAGGTGCACACCTGTAATACCTGCACCTGGGAGGCTGAGGCAGGAGGACTGTGGAGAGTTTGAGGCCAGGCTTGGGCTACAAAGTTAGTTCATGGCCAGCCTGAACTACAACCTGATACCCTGTCTCAAGAAGAAAAAAAAGAGGAAAAATAAACAGAAAACAAGACGAGTTGTGTTTTTGTTTTTTCAGGAATCACTATAATGAAAACACTAAGTAATAAATGTTTTGTCTCTACAAGTATATAATAAGGTTCACGTTTTCCTATAGGTGAAACTACAGCAGGAGACACAATGAAAAAGCAACTCTGATGTCACTCATAAAGTCTATGCATAGATATTAATTCTACTAAGTAAATATTTTAACAAGAACATGAAGCCAGCGCTTATGTGTTTACATTCTCTTTTGCATTTTGCTTTTCTGTTTTTATAAATTCAGTTTCTTTTTAAGACTGACTTCACCAGAGCTACTATTTTATACTGGACAAGCATGTGGTTTTAACTTTACCACTAAGAAGAATTTGCTACCAGATCGATTTTTCTGATTTCAAAGATAATGCCCAAATATGGGGTCATTATATCAGATATACAAAATCTAGTTTGCTAAGAAAATGAAATTTCAAAGTTATTGGAAAGGAACTGAGCATATAAATATAAATACCTGTAAGACTGCTATCTAAAAAATGTGTCTCCAAAACACAGAGAACCACTATTTTCTAGATGATATGTATTTTGTGATGACATATTGCTTAATTTGAGGTGGCAAAATTCAGATACACAGGACCTCTTTACAACAAAACTGATCTTGCATAACAAGGCAAGAAAGAGTCTGGGCCAGCCAGGGTTCTGAGGCAACTACATAATTTAAAATACTATGCTCTTTTGTTCTTGATAAACAGGTGTGGCTCACAACACAGTGGCCTTTTTCATTGCTAATTACATTCACTAACCAGAGAAGCAGGTACAAGCCCTGCTTCTTTTCAGGCTGCCCGCTTACCCTGATGTTATTTGACCAGGTATATTTTAAGGTGAGAAGAAAGACTACTTGGAATATAAGACTCAAAATATACCCTTTGGCTTTGCACTAAAAACCCTCAACCAAAATTTCAACCATATATATATATATATATATATATATATATATATATATTCATTAGGATCATATCACAATCTGCACAAACCTACATTATATGGCAGACCATTTTACTTCCCACTATAATGGAATTGTTTCAATTCCCTTCAAATAAACCTTTCAGAAAGATGGAGGAAATGAGATCAAAGAACACATGTTCAATTCCACACTGGAAAGGCATCAACCACATAATTTCTTCATTTACCTAGATATTTCAGGCTTGGTTTTGCTTGAATTATTCTCATATTAGTTTAGCTCTTTAGTATGCTTTACAAGGCACAACCAATGGTCATATTCTTCTAATCACTCCAGATAATTCTGATTTGGTGACCAAAGAATAGTGCAGGGAGTTCTTGCTATCTTTAACCTACCTACAAAGCAGAGGCTTCAAAGCATACTTCTGCACTTGTAAAGAAACAGTAGGGACCCATAAGAAGTCTTATTGTCAATGTATTTGCTTCCCAAGGGGAGGTGTCACCTGCTCTTCCACAAATGGAGAAAAGGGAATTCTATTTGTAAACAATACCAATTTACTATGCCAGGTCCTCTTTTGAAACAGCTTTGTACAAAGAATACTATTAATGGATGGCTGGTTCAATCTGCCTATGATGTCATTATTTCCAAAATATTGAAAGAGACTATTTTGTTTGGGATGACTGTAGGCTCTATTTCAAGAATTGTACAAAAGTATCATTATTCTCCAGAAACCCAATCAAAAAACTGTTTATCTTTAAAATTTAACTGTTGTTATTCACTTCTGCAGCAGAAGGAAAAGTTAACGTGCATAGCACATTAGATATAGCCACAGGCCATTTGTTTCACTTTTAGAAATTAGCCTTGAGCATTGTAGAGAAATAGCTAACACTAATGGACAACCAGGAACAATTTATATTTGTTCATAAATTGATTTTATATTTAGCTACTAGGTTTTCACAAATAATTCAAATGGTTTCTATGAATGGTGTATAGTTTTGATCCAACCCTTGGGACTTAATGTGGTTTACCAGTGTTCTGTAAATGCAATTCAAATTCATCAGAACTAAGTCTCTTATTTCATAATAACTAAGTAACCTATCCCCCACCCCTTTCAGAATACTGGGGCAGATTACCTTCCTTTTCCCCTCCTTCTTTTCCTTATCTCTTTTTCTCTCTCCTCTCAGCTCCAAACACAAGTGTGAGGCTAAGTGTACACAAGTGAATACATACACACACACACACACACACATACACACACAGAGCCCTTTACTGACTTACCTTTATACACAAAGGTTCACTGCACTGCATTTTAGAGGAAAACCACCATCAGAATGTCTGCATGCTGACTATAGATCAGATTATTAAGAATGGTAAACAATTGTCATTATTCTCTCATTTCTCTGAAACATATCCTTTTAATCAGTGTAGTGCCAAACTAAATAAGAACTGATCAGTAGGATGAAAAATAAAGTCAGTAATGTGCATGGATCCAGAAGTCAAGGGTAAAGATATGTAATCAATGACACTCTAGCTAACATGACCAGAATTCATACTGTGCTGCCTGGCTTGACTTGGGTGCAACTGAAAGTGCCAATTGTTTCCCGATTGCCACAGGCAGTCTGGGTAGGTATGTGAAAGATGAGAATCCAGAAATTCTGGTCCTACAGCTTGCAAGGCTATTTATTAAGCCATCAACAATTGAAACAAATATTTTCATCAGATCAGATGCTATCAGAGACACTTATAGAAACAAGCATGTCTGTATTATTCTGTCTGTTTTCAAAATTTAAATGGATATTTATTTGCATATTTCTTCAATGAAAAACAAAGTAATATTGCCTTCCTTTCCAAGTCAAAAGCCTAGACTGGTGGATACAGTGATAACCTAGAGAACCCAGAGGTAAAGGTTTAAAACCACCAGCAGTACAGGCTTACTGTCACGAATTGTTGAGCATGCCAACATTATTTAATATTCTTTTCATATCAGACTAGAGGATGTAACACAGAATTGAGATGTAGCTTAGGGCAAATTTTGAGGTTGAACTTCTTAAGGTTTCTGATATACACATATGAAGAACAGGGTTTAAGAAACTAATGCAATGACACCTTTGTAATAACACAATAATAACACACCTTTGTAATAACACTTTGATATGAGTACACATGAAAGATGGACGGTAGAATTTCAAAAATATAGTAAACTGGTCACAACTTTATGGTAAAACATGAAAGTGTTTCCAATTTCTAGAATCTGGGAGTTCTTTTTTTGTGAAGAACTCTTTATAACAAGACTTAGCTCTATACATCAAG